GATATGGTACAAATTAATGTCCAACAAAATAATAATTTTGATACTAATTTTATTTTTAATAAATATTATAAACTTTTCGAAGATATAGTCTTGCCAATAAAAGATATTTCCGTACACATTAATGTAAAAAATAATTTTGCACCAAAATTTTATAAATTTAGACCTGCTCCCTTTGCTATTAGAAATTTAATTGAAGAAGAACTATTATTTTATTGAATAATGATATTATTGAAAATATAGTGGATAGCCCAATAGCTTCACCGCTAGTATGCGTCCCTAAGAAAAACGGCAAAATTAGAATTTGTGCGGACTTTAAAAGAACCTTAAATCCATTTATCGAGGATGTTAAGTATCCGATACCGAACATCGATAATGTTTTACATTCATTTTTTGGTAAAAGTATATTTAGTAAAATTGATCTTTCAAGCGCATATCATCAGATACTTCTAGACGAGGAATCTCAAAAATTAACAGTTATTTCTACCCATAAAGGCCTTTTTAAATATAAAAGGTTGCCCTTCGGTATCAAGTCCGGAGCGACTATTTTCCAAAGAACTATGGACAATATTTTTTCCGGTCTTAAAAATGTAATAATATATTTAGACGATATTCTTATAGCATCGTCTGATGTAAATGAGCATATTTCAGATATTGAAACAGAGTCATGAATAAATTATCGGATTTTAATTTTTCAATTAATAAAGAAAAATCTTTGTTTTTTGTTGATGAAATCAATTATTTGGGACATAGAATAAATAAAAATGGAATCTATCCCCTTGAGGATAAATTGGACAGTATAAAAAAATGACCTAAACCGAGTAACATTTCAGAATTGAAATCTTTCTTGGGCATGTTGTCATTCTACAGTAAATTCGTTAGAAATTTATCCATACATGCAAATCCTTTATTCTCTCTATTGAAAAGAAGTTATAATTGGAATTGGAAAAATGAACATGATCAGGCTTTCGAAAAATGTAAAAATTTGATTAGTACAAAAACTTGTTTGACGCATTATTCGCAAGATTTACCTCTTTATGTTACTTGTGATGCATCAAATTATGGTATTGGAGGATATATTTCCCATATTGTAAACGGCACTGAGAAACCAATTACTTTTGTTTCAAGAACACTAAATGACACAGAAAAGAAATATTCCCAAATAGAAAAAGAAGGGTTATCAATATTCTTTACCTTAAACAGGCTAAAACAATTCCTTTACGGAAGAAAATTTATTATTAATACAGATCACAAACCATTACTAGCCATTTTTGGCGATAAAAATAATTTACCAGCCTTAGTGGCAAATAGATTACATAGATGGTCACTCTCGATATCAAATTTTAATTTTGAAATTAAATATACTAAGGGAACTGAAATACCTCTTGCAGATTTTCTTTCAAGATTTCCAAATCCTGAAAAAGGGGAGAAGGAAGAGGAAATGGGAGAAATATTATTAATAGAAAATTCGATATTAGATTACGTCTTGGTATCGTACAAAACCCAAGAAGATCCAACTCTTAGAAAACTATATAAGTTAGTCAAGTACGATAAGTATGATGTTGACTCAGAGGTAGATATAAAACCTTATAATAGAATTAAAAACGAGATAACAATAGTAAGAAATTGCCTATTTTTCGGAAATAGAATGATCATCCCCGATTCCTTAAGAGAATATGTTTTGAAAATCATCCATGAAAATCATATTGGAGTAAATAAAATGAAAACTCTGGCCAGAAGTTCTGTCTATTGGCCGGGAATGGATGAGCAAATTGAGAAACTGTCTAAAAGCTGTAGCACTTGTATGGAAAACACATCAAAGCTGCCAAACCAGGAATTCACTGAGTGGACTCCACCAAACAAAGTTTGGAAGAGAATTCATCTCGACTATTTCTATTTTGCGGGAAAAACTTTTTTGATATTAGTGGATGCGCATTCTAATTGGATAGAATGTCAAATAGTTCCAAATACATCGGCGGGATTCTGCATAGACTTTTTGAGAGAATGTTTAGCGAGATATGGTATCCCGGAGGTGGCGGTAATGGATAATGGGCCCCCGTTTAGAAGTTATGAAATAAAGACATTTTTCGAAAGAAATGGCATACATGCGATGTTTAGCCCCGCTTACCATCCGGAGAGCAACGGACTAGCGGAAGTGTCTGTAAGAGAGATAAAAAAAAGCTATGAAAAGAATTATTTCGGAGGAAAGAGAATTACCCCTTGAGTTTGCTTTGATAAAGGCATTATATGCATATAGATTGAGTCCTTTGACTAGAACGGAAAAATCCCCTGCTGGAATATTTTTAAATCGCGAGATTAGAACAAAGATTTCCATGTTGAGCAAGAAATCAGTAAGAGTGGGGAGATTGAAAAATAAAAAACAGAACAATAGCTACAAAATAAATGATAGAGTAAGATACAGATGGATGGAAAGAGGAAAACCGAAATGGATGTTTGGGATTGTAAAGAGAATAGTGGGAAGCAACAGCTGTATGATAGAAACTGATGGAATTGAAAAGAAAGTACACACTAACTATATGAGGAGAAGTATGGAGAGAAAGGATGTTTCATCATCAGAAGAAGGAATAAGCTACCCAAGGCCTCAGACGTCAAGTCCCCTGACTCCTGCTACAATAGTAGCAGAATCTACACCTGGAACACCGACTGAATCTACACCTTCCCGGAGATATCCACTACGAGAGAGGAGACCACCGGATAGATATGTACCTTGATGAGTATTGCTATCTTAAAAAAGGGGGAGTTGATGTGAATGAACGTATAAAAATAATTAAATATGAGTGATTGAATATTAATTAATTTATTTTTCTATTGTTTTTTGACCAAGAAAAGGTAAATTCATTCTGTCAAGAGATATGTAAATAGTGTTAGTTCAATTTTTAATTTTAATTTTAGTTTTGCTTGGTTTGCATGTAAATATTCTTAAGGAAGAAAAATAAACTTTTTTTTTCTTTTATAAGTGCAGACATCTTTTGTTTAATATAAATTTCTAGAAAATTATTTAAGCAGCAAAATAACATTGATGATGGTTTCTCTATATATTATGCAACATTTCCCGTATGTTTAACATTGCTTTCCGATAGATGGCGCAAGCAATCTTTAATTTTCAGTTTTACGAAAGATCAGGAAATCAATATGTTAAACATAGGGAGAGTTATCTATAAAAAGAGAGATTAAGAGGAACGTGGTAAGTTTCTTTATGAGAGGATAAAATCTATAAATCCATATATTGAATTTTCCAAAATATTGAATATATTATATTAAAAAAAAAAAAACACGATTTTATCATATATTGACTTACATAATATAACACATATTAGTTTAAAAAATATGTAAAATTATACATAAAATTTTTTATTTTATCATTCAATTAAGATAAAATTCCATTTTTCATTAGGGGGCCAAATTGATAAATTCAATATTAAATTTAAAACACAAACCAACAGAGAATTCCCAATTTATTTATTCCTTGGAAGAAAGGGGCAATTATGAAGGACTCTGGTGTATTACGTTTTTTTTATATAAAAAGAAATCGTTTTAAAAAAATATCAGGATCTTAATCCAGCAAAATACTATAGCTATGAATATATAGCTTTGAGTTAATGCTGGAGATGTTGAAAAAACATTATTTTAACAATGCTTCTTTAAAAAATAATGAACATTTCGACCAGTTATAGCTTTATTTTCTCAATGTTTCAACAAAATCCTTTGTTTTCGTTAGTAGAAATAAATAAAAAGCATTTGACAAGGCGTTAAAAATTGTTCTGAGGTTGTAAGTGTGTTTTTACGCGATTTTTCAAAATTTCAAACAATGCTGTACAACAATTGTAAACAAAGTCTGGCTATAATTTTAATAATTAAGGATTATATTGAGTTTAGCAGTTTGAAATTTGATCATGAAAGATCATCAACCGAAGAAATACAATATCTCAATCTTTCAACCACAAATTACTTGTAATATAAGTTACTTTATGTATTATTTATGAACGAAAAAATACGTCCAGGGTAGCCTAGTGGACATGGCATCTGCCCGGTAAGCGGAACATTGTGGGTTCGATTCCCATCCCTGGACACTTTTATTTTTCCGTTCATCATTACTCTTCATAATTCACCCTTTCATACCTCATCCAAAAAGGTTAGAAATAGTCAATATTTCACCTTGAAATAAATTTTGATTTTTCATTGAAAAGAAACTCATGCGGTGTAACTTCAAGTATTGTTTTACAAATTACTTCTGTCTTGAATACAGTAAGAGTAAAATATTGCAAAGCTCAAGCTGTATATCCCACAAAGAATTTCTCACAAATGATTACAAAATGTTCGAATTCCAACAATAAATTTACAACAAACCATGAATATTTAATAAAATCAATAAAGCGTCCAGAGATAAGTTTCTTGTACAACTTTTATTTCTCTAACTTTCGGAATTATCATTCCTTCAACGGTAGAATTACTTTAAATGACTAACCGTGTAGCTCAGAATGTATTCAAAATTCGAAACTATTTTAAAGACATAAGATTCTTTTTGATATTAAACAATTTCTACTGCCCTTACTGCAATGTAAAAATTAATGAGAGGGCCTGATTCATCAGTGGTGAACCCTCTCAGCAGTTTCGCCAGTTTAATCTACCATACCGCTGTTATATTGCCTTTTTTGGAACTTCCTTTTTTAGTGATACTGTTGATAGACTCTTTGAAAGGGTATTTTAGAAGAACTATGGACATAATTTTATTAAATTATAAGTCAGTGAAGAAACTTATATTTTGAACAATGAATATTTTAGAAATTTCATAATGTGTGCAGTATGTCTTTTATTTTATTATTATTGTTTTTTATTTTTTATTTAAAGTGTGTTATGTCTCCCTTAGGGACACTTGCGCTGTCATTCATGTATGCCTTTTACATTAATATATACAGTTATCAGCGTCATCAAGCAACAATTCTTAATAATCAATTTTGTCACCGTTTGGCCATTTCTCATAACCATCGGTGGTTCAGTGGTAGAATGCTCGCCTGTCACGCCTGCCAATGGGTTCGATTCCCGGCCGATGCATTTTTTTAAAACAATTTTTAAAACTCATTTATATATTATACAAGAATGACATCCACGGCGTCAATTTATAATTGTAACGAATAGTATTTGAATAAAAGCATTTAATCGGGTAAAACCCCGGCGTTGCCCGGGTCATTCGGCAAGTTTGTCTATATCTTAGGCCGTGAATAGAATAGTCATATGATATTAACAAGGAGAAAGAAAGAAAAAGAACTGTGTACAAAAGAAAGAAATGTCTGGCAATATGTACAATCAACATAATATAAATTATCAATTTCTTAAAAGATATTTGTTGCTATGTAATTTTAAAAATATCTACAAAAGGTATTGGGTACAAAAGGTGCAGCAAAGGACCCAATGTGTTTCTGTAGTGTTTAGGATGTTCTTCATCTTCTCATCAAATTCCCATTTTTAGATAATTACTAACGGCTTGCAGATCTGAATGCTACATATATATAAAAGTTAGTGTATGTATGTATGTATTTTTGTCGGCTATACACGTCCACAATAAGTAACTAATCTGACTGAAATTCTAAAAGTATATAGAGTAGAATCTGGAAAAACTTATAATGAAAATTTCAAGTCTCTATCCCGAATATTCTTCGAGTTATTTGCCATTTCGCTAGCTCGTGGTGAAGATGGGAGGTAATATCAGCTGACCTAATGTACATGTAAAGTTTGGAGCGGGACACAAGAGTGACATCCACGGCGCCAATTTATAATAGTAACGAATAGTACTTGAAAATCAAAATAATAAAATTTTCAAATATCGTTGTGAAAATTTACATTTTTATTTTTATATTTCAAAAACACACAGTTTGGAGCGGAACGTTTCACAAGAGTGACATCCACGGCGCCAATTTATGATTTTACGAATAGTATTTGAATAAAAACATTTAATCAGGTAAAAGCCAGGCGTTGCCCGGGTTATTCGGCTAGTGCTATACACCCATACCTCGCTTTGCGTCGGGGTTACGTCCCAAAAAAAAACACGACGCAAATTGAAACGACACAAAGTGAAAATATGTGAAGGCGCAATCAAAAACAAAGGTGTTACCATATTTTAGGAAAAAAATTAAAAAAAAAAATTAAAGACTTGAATCCAAAACAACGCAACTTCTAAAATCCAACGACGCACAGTGAAAATCCGTAAACATTAAGCAGCGACGCAACTTCGAAAAAAACGCAAAACGAAACGACGCAAAGCGAGGTATTGGTGTATAAACATAAGATTTTACCTCTGAAGCTATCCATGAAAACTTTGATAAACAAATACATCGCATTACAAAATTTATTAAACTGTAGAATTTCAAATCTATTCATCAATTCGATACCAATTTCTGTAATATATTCAGAGGTTTATATTTTATTGGAATATCTGTAATTTATAGAATATATAACCTTATTAGTTTTGTTCTTTTTTTTTAATCATTATCAACCATTTCCATCACCCAGTTAAAAGTTGAATAGTTTCTGTATATTTGAACAATAAAAATTAACAAATAATTAAGAAAAGAAAAAAAGGCATCTCCATATCGTGCAACTGGAAGTTGCTGATGGCTCGCGCCATCTATCAGAATAGTTCATATTTATTCCGATAGATGGCGTATCAGAAACTTCCACTTTCACGATATGGAGATGCCTTTATTCTCTTCTTAATATATGAACCTTATCCCAGTACAATATCACATTTGTACTATTTTTTAACAACATAATGATAAATAATGTTCACCACTGATGAGTCAGGCCCTCTCATTAATTTTTACATTGCAGTAAGGGCAGTAGAAATTGTTTAATATAAAAAAGAATCTTACGCCTTTAAATAGTTTCGAATTTTGATAAAAGATGGCGCGCTAGTGCATCATATTATAAATGTTCTAATAAAAGAAACAATTTGATATTTGCGGAAGAGCGATTGCTCGAAGCATATTATATATTTATAAATGTATGTAATTCTACTGTCCTCTAAGCTTATGTCCATAGTTCTTCTAAAATACCCATTCAAAGAGTCTATCAACAGTATCACTATAAAAGGAAGTTCCAAAAATGCAATATAACAGCGGTTTGGTAGATTAAACTGGCGAAACCGCTGAGAGGGTTCACCACTGATGAGCCATGCCCTCTCATTAATTTTTCCATTGCAGTAAGGGCAGTAGAAATTGTTTAATATAAAAAAATCTTACGCCTTTAAAATAGTTTCGAATTTTGATAACAGATGGCGCACTAGTGCATCATAAATAATTGTTTCAAAGTTTTAGGGATTTGACTTAATATATTGCAACTTCAACAAGAAATAATGCAAATCCCACATAGATCCCATGTTACAAGTTAATTCTGGCAACGGTTCACCATGCCACACACCACCGCCTTTCATACAGCCAATAGCAGAGCTCAATAACACCAATTTTTAATCAACCAATAGCCTTCATCATCTTTGATTTTAATCTTTTAAATTACCTTTGGGAGCTACTTCTTTCTCTTGACAAACCCAATTAAACAGGGATTAGACAAACTTCCTTAATTTCTGTTGTCACCTTGGCATCTCCCTCGAGATGTCTTGCAATATTTATAAGTTGGATATCATACTTTGCATACCAATCTAATTATGCAAATATACATGTCACCTTTCGCTCTATATACCTTTGTTTATTATCCCTATTATATACAGAATAACAAACAATAAATAGAAAGTGAAAAAATAGTACAAATGTGATATTGTACTGGGATAAGGTGCATAATTATGAAAAAAGGCATCTCCTTATCGTGTAACTGAAAGTTGCTGATGGTTTGCGCCATCTATCGGAATAAATATCAACTATTCTCGTTGCTCTTTAATTATTCCAGAATTGGCCAAATACCCATTCTTGATTAATCAAGAAAAGTTAACCACGGACGCGTTTCGGGCTGTTGGCCCTCATCAGCGTGGTGCAAGCTGTACCTCAACCACCAAAAAACTGGTCATTCTGGCATCCTGAAAAATCATGAAACGGGTAGTTAAGGCCAGAATTGCGTGAGAACGCGACACAATGTGAAAAAATAGTGCAAATATGATATTGTACTGGGATAAGGTGCATGGTTATGAAAAAAGGCATCTCCTTATCGTGCAACTGAAAGTTGCTGATGGCTTGCGCCATCTATCGGAATAAATATCAACTATTCTCGTTGAGTTTTAATTATTCCAGAATTGGCCAACGAGAATAGTTGATATTTATTCCGATAGATGGAGCAAGCCATCAGCAACTTTCAGTTTCACGATAAGGAGATGCCTTTTTTCATAACTAAATAGAAAGTTATATAAACACAGAGAAAAATCTTAATTGTATAATTTTCATTCACACAATGAGGCTAATAATTCAATTTAATATTTCAATGAAGGGTAATTTATATGTTTGTTAAGAAGTGCTATAATGGAGTTTATATATGTAAATATAATTACTTAGTTACATAATATGAATGAGGAAATTAATTCCAGTATATAATACCAAAAATTTGCATAACATAATAATATAAACATAATTATATTTCTATATATATTTACTCTTAGATATTTTGAGCTTGTAATTTTCACAGAAGATGATATGTGATACAATTTGAAACGTTAATATATAGAATGTGTGGTTAATTAATCTTATTTTTGATTATATTAAATCAGGCGGAATTTATAGCTGATGTATTTAAGATTATATAAAAGGGCATACCTGGATCTGTAAAGAAAAAAAAAACAATTTTTTTCTCAAAATATTTCGAGAGATTGCTCCCTCTTTATCAATTTATTGCATTTATGTGTTATTATGCATTTATGTTTTGTGACTTAGTGTTTATGTTTTGTTGTTTTGTGAATTGGTGTTTATGTTTTGTTGTATTGTGAGTTGGTGTTTATGTTTTGTTGTATATTGAGTTGGTGTTTACTGCAGGGTTTGGTTTGCCTGATTCATCTAAATTAGAATCTGCGACGTATATACAACGGAAAATTTTGAAGACATCTAACTTATAACATTATAGGTGTTATCATTCAGTTACACTACTCTAAAGATGTCTTTTGTTTGATATCTCAATCTAAAAAGGCATTCAAAGAAAAACAATCAAGACCTGAAATATTTTCATATACACCTATCCCCCGATTTACACGGTAGATACGTTCCTGAGAAAAACGTGTATATCGGGGGATAGGTGTACACAGAAATAAAAATAAAATGCATTGACAGGTTAAAATATGTAGTCAGCACATAAGCTCGGGATTCCTCGTGAGATGTGTACACAGCGCATGTGTTCAATCACAGTAGCATTTAGTATAGTGCGATTAAAAACAAAAAAAAAACGTATTTGGAAAACCGTGTAAAAGCGAAAACGTGTAAAACAAGTACCGTATAAATCGGGGGATAGGTGTACTCCTAATTATTCGAAAAAAATCAACAAGAATTTCTAAAAGTGCATGAAACTACTGCAAATTGGAAATTTTCAAATATTACTATGCAACTTACACGAAGATTAATTACCAATTCAATATTCTAAAGATAAAATGGATAAAAAAGGAAAAAGGTATTTCCTTATCGTGAAACTAAATGTTACTGATCGCTTGCGCCATCTATCGGAATAAATATCACTAATCGTTGTTTATTAATTGATTAATTGAAAAGGGTATTTTGCCATTTCTAGAATAATTGAAAATAAACGAATCGTTTATTTTTATTCCGATAAATGGCTCAAGCCATCAGCAACTTCTATTTGCACCATCAGGAGATGCCTATTTCTTAATAAATATATAGATGGAAAATTTGCCGGGAGGAAATTAATCCATGGAAGCAATGGTCGCCTCTCCCGTCAAAATAAACGTCAGAATCCGACGCCATCTATTGACCGTCGCCGCAACTAGCGGCCTCGGGTCGGTGACAAAGCCACAACACCAACTTTGGCAAACTGATAAGCGTCCACCTAGAGACCATGGTTTCGGGCTAATGGCCCTCGTCAGTCTAGGGCGGACTTTATTCCATGAGATCCAC